AACTTTAATTAATTAAAAAATTAATTAATTAAAAAGAAAGAAAAAAAAAACATTGTCATCAGTCTCTGATTTCCTTACCCTGCTGACTGTTCTAATTTCCAATTCATGGTCAGTTACAGTTTTTATAAACATTGTAATTCATAGCCACATCTTCATTCCAGCTTTGTGACGTCACTACTATGAAAGTTTTTAAACATTTCAAACTACAGACAAGTCGTGTGCCCACTCTTGTGCACCTTCACTTTGAGAAAGGTGCCAGCCATGGGATCTCATCGGTAGCACACATGTGAGTTGTTGGTTCTTAGCACACAAGCAGACATGTGAGATGAACTTGAGGAGGTGTTGTGCCTCACTTACAGTTTCACAGATTTTTCTCCAGTATCACCTGGGGCTGAGAACCCGGCCAAACTCTTAGTCATCAGAAAAGAGAACAAATAGCAAACCATTGTCAGTCTTTGGGAAGGTGAGCACCTGGCGTTCTCTGACTCCGTGTGTGCGTGCACTCCATTGGGTGTGACTGCACTCTGACATGGAGCTTGCAAAGTACCACAGGCCATTCCTCAGTATTGCACAACCTAAGTCCCAGGTCATCTGACCACTCCGGGGCAATCCTTACCAGTTTCTTTTCATTTCTAGGTGTAGCATGTAACACATTTGAAGGTCGGGAAGGTAATATTGGCACACTGCTCTTCGCCAGAATTTGGAGGCAGGAATGTTACACATTGAATTCAATGCAAGTTTGTTTGTCTGCAAGGACATTTAAAAGTATAATTCTTTTCCTCATGTTCCATTTTTGAGACTTTTTATAGAATCATTCTTACCTCAAAACTGGTTCATCATTTTGGCTTTTCCCAGCAGTGACAATCACTGTAAAACCACCTGTCACTTCCCACACGCTTGTGTGAGAGCAGTGACTATAGAACCTGGAATTGAACCACCGTGTCTCCAGAATATATGTATTCTTGACTTTTTACCTATCCTAATATTCACTATTAACATTTCTTTTTACATCTCTGGTGTCCCATTTGAAACAAACAAAATGACAGAAACCCTAGTGATGAAAGTGCCAAATTGCTGCTATTGATAGGAAGATGTCAGAATACTTAAATCAAGAGAGAGCTAGTTAAAAATTAAACCTAAAGGCTATTTTAAAAAACCTGCTTTGGCTGCTAGTGGTTGTGCATGCCTTTAATCCCAACACTCTGGAGGCATAGGCAAGATGATTTCTGTAATGTCGAGGCTAGCCTGGTCCACAGAGTGAGTTCCAGGACAGCCAGGACAACACAGAGAAACTGTCTAGGAAAAAAGAAAAAAAATCCTACTTTGATGTGTTGTAAAGGGTGCTAGGTAGAGTGATTGCACAGTACTGCTCCTTGAATCTGAATGAAGGGAAGACAACAATTCAAATTTCTAGGCAAAAGTCATCCATACCTCCAAATATGCTTCAAAATTCTAAAAGGTCAGTAAAATAATTGCTTATTAGATGTTGAGTAGAAAGATGTTAGGTAAGCATTCGAATGCTTTCAGATGGTTTTATTGGGCCCTTGGACTACAAGAAAATGAGGCCATTTTATTTTATTTTTTTTAGAAATTCATATTCATATAACATGTTCTGTAAAATCCACTAGTTCCCTCCCCTCTGATTCCTTCCATACTTTCCCACACTTTTAAAAATATTTTTTTAAAGCAATGAATCCACTTAATATTTTCTTTTTGTGTTGGTGTAAGAACATCTACTAGGGCCTGGGCAGCCTTTCAGAGACCATGTCCCTAAAGAAAAGTCATTCTCCTACCTCCAGGAGTCATCAACTACCATCAGTTTCTAAGGTAGGGATGGGACTTCAAGACCCTGTCTGCATCCACGACAGGATTTTGGCTGGCTTGATCTTGTGCATACACTCCCAGCCACTGTAGATTCATGTGCGCGATGTTGTGTACTAGCAAACACACTTTCTCTAAAGACATCCACCACCCCTGGCTTTTACTACCTTTCTCTGCAGACATCTGCCATCCCTGGCTTTTAACATCTTTCTGTCCCTGGGTGTTATGGAGAGAGCATAACTAAATGTCCAATTTATAGTGATCTCTCCACAGCCAGATGAGTTCATTTTAAACATGATTCATATATTGCATTTGATAATTCCATTCACAATGCTTTAGAAATATCAGTTTAAATTAACTTTAATCATTGTGCTTTAGATATATTGACAGCTTACATTTTAATAGATTTACATTTTTCAAGATCTTAACTTTGGGGAACCAAACTGACCCAAGACTTTTTCAGAGATCCTGATGAAAGGAAGAAGGGAACTTTAGCTCTGTGTCCTTATCCAGGAGTGGACTTGGCAGGGGTACTCTGAGGTTGGAGCCAGTGTCTCAGAGTGTTTGAGGTTATGGCTTTTGGGAACCCAAATCTTTCCCCTGGGCTGTGGTCGTAACTCCAAAGGCTGCTGTGTCTGAAGTCTCCTGTGTTCTTTGTGCCAACATTGTCTGACTTAGATTTTCTGTGTCCTTGGCCATTTTTCACCTGAAAAAATGTAATAAGATGCTGTACTTCTTTTCGCTGTTGTTGTTCTGTTTTTATCCTTTTATTAATAATAGAATCTTTTCTTGTGCAATATATCTTGCTTATAGTTTCCCCTCCCTCTACTCCTTCCAGTTCCTTCCCCACCTACCCTCCCAAACAGATCCACTTCCTTTTTGCCTCTCATTAGAACAAAACAGGCTTCTAAGAGATAACAAGAAACATTAAAAAATAGGTTAAGATACAACAAAAGCCATCATGTCAAAGTTGGACAAGGAAAACTAAGACAAGGAAGACGGCCCGAGAGAAAGCACAAGAATCAGAGACTCGCTCATTCACACAGTCAGAAGTTCTATAAAAATACTAGGCTTAACGCTATAGTATATATCCTGAGGGCCTGGTGCAGATCCATGTAGATGCTGTGTTTGCTGCTTCAGCATCTGTGAGTTCATATGAGCCTTGCTCAGTTGATTCAGAAGGCCTTGTTCTCCTGGTGCCCTCCACCCCTTCTGTCTCTTAAACTGTAAAAAAAAAAAAAAAACCTCCTCTCCTCTTCCACAGAGTTCACTGAGCTCTGGTGGAAGAATTTGATGAAGATATCCCATTTAGAACTCAGTGTTCCAAGGTCTCTTTTATGTGTAATGTCTGTCTATAGGTCCGTATTTGTCCCCATCTGCTGCAGGAGTAAACCTCACTGATGATTACTGAGCAGAAAATGATGAATGTAGCAGAATATCCTTAGGAGTCATTTTATCACTCAATTTTTTGGTTTTATTCTAGGTCTCTGGAATATCTAGTCTCTGGTTCTTGGTCATCCAAACAGTATCATGTATGGGTTCTAGCTCATGGAGTGGACCTTAGGTTAAATAGAATCTTAGCTGATTATTCCCACAAGCTTTGTGCCGAATTGCTCTCTCATGTTTTCCAGGCAGGATGATGCTGTAGTTCTTAATAAACTTGCTTGGCATAAATTATCACCTCATTCTTTGTCCATAATCACTTCATTTTTATATATGAGATTATCACAAAATTAGAGGCAAATTCTTTTTTTTTTTTTTTAGGAGAGAGACAAATTCTAATTATGAACAGCTTCTATGAAAACAAAGTGTTTTTTACTCTTCCCATTTTGTGAAAAAAGGTGGGAGGTGTCCTAAAATGAGCAGCAATGTTCTTTCATGAGAAAAACCCTTACAAAGGGCTCCATGGTAGAAAAGTGGGGCAAGAGAGGGGATCTATATAACCCAAGAAAAGAAGCACAGAAGATGGGATGCTTCTGTGCCATCAGTTCTTCCAGGAGAAATGGAAGATGGCAGAGTGAAATTGGCAACATTAGGATTGCCCTACCTTACATTGTCATGTCCCTGAGACCAAGGATAGCAGTGGTCTGTGTCCTTGGACAGCAAAAAAGTATAGGCTTCGTTTCATTTCAGCCTATTTTTGGACTTTTCATGAAATGTAGTGAATAAAATATCACTTTCTTCTAAGGGAAGGGAATGTAATATTCTGAACTGTAGTAAGAACCTAGAGACTCTATCTCATCAATATTGTTCCTCCCCTAAGTTATAGTATGAAGGAGGCCTAATTCAGCTCATAGAGAAAATTCCAGAATTCCCTCTCACATGTCATTCATGGTAATCTGCTTTACACAGTGGAAATTAAAACAAATAATACTATCCCACCTTCAGAGGAAAGGAGAACTTGTCTAGAGAGGACTTGCTATGATGTTTGGAGCAGAAGGTTTTCCCACAACAGCCTTGATGGCAAATCTGCTTTTCAGTTTTATTTCTCTAGAACAAATGACCAATTTTGGTGGGTGGAGGGGAGTGTGAGAAATATTAAAGATGTGTTTTGGATGATAAATGTCAAACCTTGTTTCTATAGTAGCAGATCCACTGTTGCAAGTTGTCTTATGATCTGATTACTTTGTGTGTGGTTTTGAGATAGGGTCTCAATCTTCATCACAGATGGGCCTAGAATCCTTATGTATCCCAGGTTTGCCTAACCTGTGAATATCATTCTGCAATGTGCTCTTGAGAACTTAGATAATGGGTTTGTACCATTATACCCAGTTATATAAGTAGTTCAGATATCTATGGATTAAAATTATATTTACTAAAGATAGCTATGAATAATGGAAGGATAATAAGAGTTTGGAAAGACTCTAAATCCTACAGATTTAGAGCCAAAGGAAACCTATTTCCATGTGTGGAAATAGGTTGGTTCATGAAAGCAGCAGTTTATAGAATTTTCTCAGTATTTTAAATTTATTTTATTTTCTGCTTATTGGGAAAATTGTCACAAATTAAGTGAGACACACCCAAAATAAGAATCTTGGACAAGGCTTCGGAAACATTCTTTAACACACATGAATGAACTTTACTCTCAGATTAGAGATAGTTCACAATGAAAGAGCTCTAAGATGTTGATGAACTTCAGAATAGCCTATTCCCCTGATTCATGCATATATTCTTCTATCTTATCTCTCTTTTAAGTATTTCCTTAATGCCTCTTTCACATCCTTGTTCCTTAGGCTGTAAATGAACGGGTTCATCATGGATGTTACCACTGAGTAGAACACTGAGATTATCTTATCCCCTTCATTCATTTTCTTTGAGTTTGGCTGCATGTAGGTAAATATTGTTGAGCCATAGAAAAAGATAACAACAATGAAATGGGAACTGCAGGTAGAGAAGACCTTGATTCTCCCCTCACCTGATTGTAATTGAACCACAGTGGAGATAATATTACAGTAGGAGAAAAGAATGAGAGAGACCGGACCTAGGAGAATTATTACACCCATTGCAAAGATGACCATCTCAGCTGTGTAAGTTTCTTCTGATGCCAGCTTCAAGAGTGCAGGAGGCTCACAGAAATAATGATTGATTAGGTTTGGTCCTTGGTATGGCAAGCATATAGTAAATGTGGTATCTACTACAGACACAAATATTCCACTAGCCCAGGATCCTACAACTAGCAGAACACAAACTCTGTGTGTCATGATGGTGGAGTAGTGCAGGGGCTTGCAGACAGCTATGTAGCGGTCATAGGACATGACTGCTAGAAGAGAACTTTCTGTACAGCCCATGATGAGGAAAAAAAACATCTGCATAGAGCACCCAGCAAATGAAATGGTCTTTCTGGTGACTAGAAAGTGGACTAGCATCTTGGGAACAATAGTTGTAGAGAAACAGAGATCATTCAATGACAGGTTTTTGAGGAAGAAATACATTGGTGTATGAAGTCGAGAGTCAACATGAATGAGGAGTATGATCAGTAGGTTCCCAAACACAGTAAGCACGTAGATGATGAAAAATACCACAAACAGCAAGATCTGAGTCTGACGATCTGAAGAAAGGCCCAGCAAAATGAACTCAGTCAGATAAGTGTGGTTACCTTTGCCCATGGATGTTTACTCCTCTTACAAATTAGCATACATGGACCAATCAAATGTTGACTCTGATGGTCAAACCCACAAATAAAAACATGTCATGAGAATAAATAAAATTGAGAAGTTTGAGGGGCGGAGCCAAGATGGCGACTAGCACACACAGCTTCCGAGCTGTGGAAGAGATAAAGTTCTGAGTTGATGAGTGGAAGAACTTCTGAAGCCAGGGAAACAACGGAGAGACTTTCTAAACAACAGGGAACATCGCCGGAGGTGAAAACCTTGGTCTCGGGTCACCCAGGGACTTGTTTGGGGAAGGTGAGAAACGATCCTTTGATCTCTCGGCACTCCCCTCCCCCAGACCTCCCTCCTCCTCGGCACAGCGGACTCGCCTTTCTCAGCAGACCTAACTGCCTGGGGCCTGCAGCCACTGAGGCGGAGCCCCAAGCCCTTTATCGGCAAAGGCCAGCAGTACTGTGTCTCGGAGCCCCAGATTCACGCCCGGCAGCTGCACCATCCTCCCAGGGCCCGAGTCTGCTAGACGCCATACTAGCTCCGCAGGATCGCGATCACTGACGGTACGGCCCGCCCATTCCCACAGTGACAGAGAATACGCTATATACTCACCAAAACCAGACAGAAACGCCATACAAGCTAGACACACCAGGCGCTGGGCCTCCGAAGTTTGGAGAGCACAGTAAAGAGACCCCAGGACTTCCCAGAAAGCATCTGGTCTAGCAACCCAGTCTCCAGTTACAGCGGGACTTTCTAACCTGGCGGCGGAGCAGCACTGAGCTGGCGGGGCACATCAGCCCTCCAGTTTAAGACTAACCAGGGCCAAACCAGAGAACAGAAAGGCTGGTTACCCCGATTCCCACTGACGTGACCACCCTGAAATCCCCAGCTGCAGCAAGACCTCATAACCTGGCAGTGACAGCAGCACGGAACTGGCGGAGCACATCAAAGAAGCAGGGCCAAACCAGAGAGCAGACAGCCCAGATACGCCTATCTCTGCCAAGTGTCCTGCCTGTAAGTGAGTGCAACCTTGAGAATCTGCAGCTCCACTGATCCTGGCTTCTTCTAAAACAGAAGCCAGGCATCGAACCCCCTCCCACCCATATACCCACTTTGGGAAACAGAGGGGCACTTGGAACATTGAAGTTCCTGCTCTGCGGGTCTAATTGAGGAGTTAAGGCAGTTAATGCCAGAAATTGCGCTGCGATCATCACTAGCGCCTGCGACATATACATTGCAGAGCCCCTCCCACACACTCAAGGGTTCAACATTAGCCATCACTCTGTCCCTCTAGACACACGCCCACACCCACTTACACACACACACACACACATATACACACACACGCACGCAAGCTTGCATTTGCCTCTGTTTGCGCCTGCGTACTTTCCTCCCACAGGTACAGCTAGTCCTCAGCATGCGCTAAGGACACGGGACCTCTCTCAACTTCCTGAAGAATTCTCCAGACTCGAGAGAGAGACAGTACCAGTCTGATCGGCAGAATCCAAAAAGAAACAGGGAAGGTCTCAGATAAGCCAATGGCCAGGGGTAGGCGAAAGAACACTTCCAACATAAATCAGGACATCACGACTTCACCAGCAAACCCCAAAATCGATGGATATTCCAATTCATCAGAAGCACAGGAAAATGACCTTAAAGCCATGCTTGCTCAATTATTTGAGGCTCATAAGGAGGAAATGAACAATTCTTTCAAAGAGTTGGCCAGTCAATTGGAGGTAAAGAAAGAAGAAATAGACAAAACCCTTAAAGAAACACAGGCAAACATATCCAAACAAATAGAGGCACAAGTAGAGAAAAAATTAGTGGCATACAAAAAAGAAATGAACAAAGAAATAGAGTCCATCGTAGAGAGACAGGAATCCAAATTCAAACACATAAAAGAAATGGTGCAAGGCATGAAAACAGAATTAGAATCAATAAAGAAAACACAAAATGAGAAAACTCTTGAGCTGGAGAACTTGGAGAAAAGATCAGGAACCACAAAAGTAAGCATCACCAACAGAATACAAGAGATGGAAGAGAGAATCTCTGGAGCTGAAGACACACTTGCAGAAATTGATACTTCTCTCAAAGAAAAAGTAAAATCAGAAAAATTCCAATCACAAAATATCCAAGAAATCAAGGATGCTATGAAAAGACAAAATCTAAGAATAATAGGAATTGATGAAAAAGAAGACTCCAGGCTCCAAGGTCCAGAAAATATTCTCAAAAAAATCATAGAAGAAAATTTTCCCAACTTAAAGAAAGAGATGTCCATAAATATACAAGAGGCCTACAGAACACCAAATAGACTAGACCAGAAAAGAAACACATCACGTCACATCATAGTCAAAACACTAAATCTACAGAACAAAGAAAAGATATTAAAAGCAGCAAGGGAAAAAGGCCAAGTAACATATGAAGGTAGACCTATCAGAATCACACCAGACTTCTCACCAGAAACTATGAAAGCCAGAAGGGCCTGGGCAAGCATCATGGAGACTCTAAGAGATCACAAATGTCAACCCAGACTACTATACCCTGCAAAGCTTTCAATCAACATAGATGGAGAAAACAAAATATTCCATGACAAAACTAAATTTACGCAATATCTATACAGCAAACCAACCCTACAGAAGATACTAGAAGGAAAACTCCAATCCAACGAAAACGAATTCACCCAAGAAAACAGGGCATACAGATAATGTCCCAACAAAAATGTAAAGAAAACAAGCAATGAAACAAGGTAAGATCATCGACTCCATTACAAAAGGAACTAACATGCATTGGTCAATATTATCTATCAATATTAATGGACTCAACTCACCAATAAAAAGACACAGGCTAACAGAATGGTTACGGAAACAGGACCCAACATTCTGTTGCATCCAAGAAACACACCTATGCAACAAAGATAAACACTACCTCAGAGTAAAGGGCTGGAAAAATGTTTTTCAAGCAAATGGTTCCAGAAAACAAGCTGGAGTAGCCATCCTAATATCTAATAAAATAGACTTTCAACCCAAGTTAATCAAAAAAGATAAGGAGGGCCACTATATTCTCATCAAAGGAAAAATCCAACAAGAGGACATCACAATTTTGAATATCTATGCCCCAAATACAAGAGCACCTACATTCGTAAATGAAACAATATTAAAGCTTAAATCATACATTGATCCTAATACCTTAATAGTGGGAGACTTCAACACCCCACTCTCATCAAGGGACAGATCAACCAGACAGACACCAAATAGGGAAATGAAAGCACTCACAGAATCCCTAAATCAAATGGACCTAATAGATGTCTACAGATCTTTTCACCCAAACTCAAAAGAGTACACCTTCTTTTCAGCACCGCATGGAACCTTCTCCAAAATAGACCATATAGTTGGTCACAAAGCAAGCCTCAACAGATACAAAAGGATCGAAATAATCCCTTGTATACTATCTGACCACCATGGACTAAAGCTGGACATCAACAACAACAGAAACAACAAAAAGCCGACACGCACATGGAAACTGAACAACTTACTACTCAATGACAGCTGGGTCAAGGAAGAAATAAAGAAAGAAATTAAAGACTTTCTAGAATTCAATGAAAATGAAGGCACAACATACCCAAATTTATGGGACACATTGAAAGCAGTGCTCAGAGGAAAATTTATAGCACTAAGTGCCTACAAGAAGAAATCTGTAACATCACATACAAACAACTTAATGGCCCAACTGAAAATCCTAGAAAAAAAAGAAGCAGATACACCCAAGAGGAGCAGACGGCTGGAAATAATCAAACTAAGGGCAGAAATCAATCAATTAGAAACAAATAAAATTATCCAAAGAATCAATGAAACAAAAAGCTGGTTCTTTGAGAAAATCAACAAGATAGACAAACCCTTAGCCAAACTAACTAAAAAGCAGAGAGAAACCATACAAATCAGCAAAATCAGAAAGGAAAATGGGGACATAACTACAGACACTGAGGAAATCCAAACGATTATTAGGTCATACTACAAAAGCCTATATGGCACAAAATTTGAAAATCTAAATGAAATGGATAACTTTCTTGACAGATTCCATCTACCAAAATTAAGTCAAGATCAGGTAGAAAGACTGAATAGTCCTATATCTCCCAAGGAAATAGAAGCAGTCATTAACAGTCTCCCCTCCAAAAAAAGCCCTGGACCAGATGGCTTCAGCGCAGAATTCTACAAGACCTTCAAAGAAGTACTAACACCAATTCTCCTCAAACTATTCCATAAAATAGAAACAGAAGGAACACTACCAAACTCATTCTATGAAGCCACAGTCACTTTGATACCTAAACCACACAAAGATCCAACAAAAAAAGAGAACTTCAGACCTATCTCTCTTATGAACATTGATGCAAAAATACTCAATAAAATACTTGCAAACCGAATCCAAGAACACATCAAAGATATCATCCACCATGACCAAGTAGGCTTCATCCCAGGAATGCAAGGGTGGTTCAACATACGGAAATCCATCAATGTAATCCACCACATAAACAAAATGAAGGAGAAAAACCACATGATCATCTCCTTAGATGCTGAAAAAGCATTTGACAAAGTCCAGCACCCATTTATGTTTAAAGTCTTGGAGAGATCAGGGATACAAGGCACATACCTAAAGATAGTAAAGGCAATATACAGCAAGCCTATAGCCAACATCAAACTCAATGGAGAGAAACTTAAATCAATCCCACTGAAATCAGGGACAAGACAAGGCTGCCCACTCTCTCCATATCTCTTTAACATTGTACTTGAAGTCCTAGCCAGAGCAATAAGACAACTAAAGGAGATCAAGGGGATACAAATCGGAAAGGAAGAGGTCAAAGTGTCACTATTTGCAGATGATATGATAGTATACATGAGCGAACCCAAAGATTCAACCAGAGAACTTCTTCAGCTGATAAACACCTTCAGCAAAGTGGCAGGATACAAAATCAACTCAAAAAAATCAGAAGCCCTCTTGTATACCAAAGA